GCTCCCCTTGCTGCAAGGGTTTATGTTCCCTTTCCCGGAAATATTTTCCCGTTTTGGGTTTTTCCCTTTAATTTTGGTTTTAAATTTTTTTAATTCTTTTTTAAATTAAATTATAATTTTCTTTTTTGCTCCCCATATTATAAAAAGCTAAACCCTTTTAAAACAGTGACTAAAATTCAAAAAAACACATTTTAAGTATCAAAATGCCCGTTTTTCTTTCTAAGGCTTTTAACTCAAAGGCTTTAGAAAATAGCCTTTTTCTACTCGACTTTTAAAATCAAGACCCCCCAGATTCCCCCTTTTTTTTGTGTACACCATGAAATCTTTTAAAATAGATTCAGCAGTTTCAGTAATACCATTAAACTGTAGTAAAAAAAATGTTTAAAATTCTTTGGGTAGTGGGCAGTCTCGCCCTTTAAACCCCATTGCCATATCGGGTGCTTCTCCCCCTAGGGATCTCCTTATCCCATGTAAAATACTCTCATCTGTATATTCTCCAGCATTGATTAAACAGTTAACCTCATAATGCCAGGTTCGATAAGAAACTTCACCGTTCCCAGGTTCTCCATAAAATAAAAAAAATCTAGGATATTTACCTGACGAGCTAGATTTTTCCACATAAACCTTCTCTTGAATAATTCCACCTTTAGATTCCAGTGCCTTCTCCAAATCTTCCGGCGTATCGATTTTCAGTTTCTGCAGAGCAGCCAACAATCCTTGTCTTTAGCTGAAATTCCTTCCATATTTCAAACTGTCTACAAAAAAACTAGTTTCAAACCATTGAAAACAAAATACATGTATAAGACATTACAAAGAAGCTGAAAACAATATGTGTGTAATTATAATCTGATTTCTTCAAAATTACACCTAAAAGAAATCAATGTATACCCATTATTAACAAACAAAATTATACATTATTGACGAACAAAGTAGAGACCATTACACCAGCTCCCCGAAGATAAGTTAGAAAGCTTAGACTACATAAAGACTGCTAAGACTACATCGGTTGCTGCATATAGATATAATTACACAATCACTACTTTACTAACAGATATCACCACCAGAAACAAGTAAATGGTCTCTTATTCCTGTGTATAAAATAAGCAAGTATAAGACATAATAAATTATTATCTCGGGCTATGTTATTTGAGGAAAGATTAATGTATTAATAAAAAACTGAACTGTTGCAGTAGTTAGAATATAGTTTTGTACCCTTCACCAGTATGAGAAAGTGAAAACAAGTGACTCTCTTACAATAATACTTACTTATCACCTCACAATAATTACATGAATATATATATAAAAAAATGAAAAGGTACAAAAAATAGAGAGAAAAAATGCTTGCAGTCCTAATTTTTTTTTACTGTTCACTGTCCACTGGAATATACCGAAGATCAGTCCAAAAGTTTCCTCGAATAATGATTACATAAAATAGTGCATATGCATTTAAATACGTTAGTGTATACACCCCCAAAAAATAATGTTTTCACAAACCACTTGTACTGGAAGTTTCGTCAATGCAAATCCACGACTTGATACACTGTATCCGTTTTCTTCAATAGGGGCTCCAAATGTTACAGGGGGGTTTTCTTGTGTGAGATGGATACGGGTGGATGAACAACAACTAAAATGGTTTCAACTTCATCTTGATTTATACAGTTTTCTTTTCTACATATAAATTTGACGTGTAATAGCTTTCTTTCAATTCTTCATGACCAAGTTAATACTAGTCTATAAAACGTCCTGAAACCAAGAAGAACTTATTAATAAAAAGCATCAACTCATTACAAAAATAGTTATTAATAAAGCATTACAACATTTCTCATTTTCAACATTTCATACAATGGTTCAAACAATATTAATGGTTCAAACAATATTAATGGTTCAAACAATATCAATAGATAGCTGAAACAGCATCTTATCAACTTATTAATTCTAAACAAGTATTTAACAAAGTTTAGTTTAATAAATAATAATAATTCAAGTCAACACTTACAAAGGATAAGCTCCTAACGACATACGACATTATAATCTTGGCATGTGCGTCTCCTCTCGAAAAATAAAAATGTTCATGCAAATTAGACAGAGCAAAAGTAGTTATTTTAACAGCCCGAATATCGATGTAAATAATCTCAATATAATTGAAATAATAACACATAATGTGAGACCAAATACTCAACGATAGAAATAAACCAAAATCAAACAAAATACATTTGACTATTTAGAAGGATGGCTAGATATAAATTCAAAATTCCTACCTATCATTGGAGAGGTCATCAGACCTCTCCATAGTGTTCATACTGATTGCTGGCGGCATCCATTTTTGCGTATCTGATTGCAGTGAATGAATCTCATTTTAAGCGTAAAATCATTAGGAGCAGTCTACAAAAATTGTTTTGCGCATGCCCCGTTTCAATACACGGCTTAACTTAAACGAAAAATTAACATCGAAGTGAACAAATCGGTACATAGAAAAATCGGAAAATATCATTTACGTTACTTAACACTACGTGCATGGATGCTTCATTCGTAACTGTATACATCGATTACCGTATTGTTTTCTAAATAACGGTTCTGATAAATAGTTACAGTGAACATTATAGCTACAATATCACCATGCACTATATATACCGCCTCCGTGGTCGAGGAGTTACAGTCGATGACTCTTAATCCAGTAAACTCTCTGGCGTGGGTTCGATCCCCGGGAGATGCTTTTTTTGGTTAGTTAAGTGCGGAGGAAGTTTGTCTAGTACTGGTGTAACTCTCAAGGAACGATGGTTAGGAAACTACCCGCCTATATGACTAAAATACTGTTGGGAAAAGGCGTACAATTAAAAACAAACAAACATATTATATGACCGAGTGAACCGTGTATTGAACCGGTATATCTAAATAACGCCAAAGGGAGATTTTTTTGGCGCAAATGGGCACAAATTTTATCTCAAGTTTGAATTTTCTTCTAATATTGTGGTTGGAAGGCATGCAACTTTATATACTGTTTATTCCAATAAACAGTATATAACAGTATAACAGTATATAACAGTATTTTACTGTTTATTCAATCAAATAATATCAACATTTTTTATGTAAACTTGTTTGATTAACATACTTTATACTCGTTTTGGAAATGTAGAGGGAATGCTTCCTTATATTTAACAAAACAGTGACCGAAAATTTGCTTATTGAACTTTACAAGAAACTTTTATTTTGAAAATACTTTTAATATATATATATAATTTTTCTACAATGGAACTGGAATTTAAAATACAAATGTAAATGATATATATCATTTAATTTACATTAAGTAATTTTACATTTTTTTTTGTAGAAAAAGTATCCCTAATGCGCCAAGAAAAAAGTCCATTTCTCCGGCATATAATCTTTTAAAACATTAAAAAAGTTGAAATGTAAAACAAACTTTCATTGCAATATATATAATAAATTATATTTTGTTTTGTAATTGTAATTTATAAACATTCATTGTGTCTGTTATGCAAAAATATCCCAAATATTTTCGAATTAAACAAATTTTCCACAGCAGCAAAAAGACCTCTCGCAGGCTTCTTTTTAAAGAAGCAAACTTGTAGATCTATCTGACAGCCTAACCGGAAAGAGAAGAAAGCGCTTCGTAAGATCAGCTGTTTATATATATTTTTGTGATATGGTAGAACACCACCAATTAATCGGAATACCCACTCAATTTCCGCACCGCTACAAATATTTATCACACTTGGCACAAATGTTGACTAGACCATTGTCTTTGTAACAACATGCCCAGGCTTTAATTTCCTGTTACCATGGCATCGAGAGGACATCTCAGAATTGCCAAAAATCACTATTTTGTGTTGATTTTCATCAAAATTGATTTCAATTGCTGCAACTTCTCAATGGATTGAGCTAGAGTCAAATGCTTTTCAGGGTTGGTTCCACATTACCTTATGATCGATCTGGGGTCATTTTTAGCCTCTCACAAGTCCAAAATTTTCTTGGTGATGACTGCCGCCCCCTTCAAACCCACATGCCCCTTCTTGCAACCCCCTGATGTATCTTTTAGTTTGGGGGCCGCGACGAAAAAAGGTCACTTTTTAAAACAACATTTCTCAAACATAAACAAGTGTTCGGGGCATAAATAAGGCATTTTTCACCATTTATTTAAAACAAAAATAAACTGGGGGGGGGGATAAAAAGGCACATCGGGTAATGGGTTAACAGAAAATGATGAAAAAAATGAAATTACCCCAAAATCGCGTTTTTTCCATGTTAAAACACGGCCTAACATATAAATTTGAAGAAAAATTGTTGTTTTGTAGATTTTGTAAGTTTTTTCATTAACCAATTACTTCATGGGCATTTTGTGAAAAATGGCTGTTTCCATTGAAAAGTCTCCCGTTACAAGTTCAAATTGCTATAAAACTATAAAATCTGCTTCAATATTTATCACACTTGGCACAAATGTTGACTAGACCATTGCCATTGTAACAACATGCCCAGGCTTTAATTTCCTGTTACCATGGCAACGAGAGGACATATCAGAATTGCAAAAAAATCACCATTTTGTGTTGATTTTCATCAAAATTGATTTCAATTGCTGCAACTTCTCAATGGATTGAGCTAGAGTCAAATGCTTTTCAGCGTTGGTTACATATTAACCTTATGATCGATCTGGTGTCATTTTTAGCCTCTCACAAGTCCAAAATTTTGCTTGCGATGACTGCCGCCCCCTTCAAACCCTCCAAACAGAAGGGGGATCAAACCCCTTCTGACAACCCCCTGATGTATCTTTTGGTTTGGGGGCTGCGCCGAAAAAGAGGTCACTTTTTAAACAACATTTCTCAAACAAAAAGTGTTGAGGGCCTAAATACGGCATTTTTTCAAAATTTTAGACAACAATAAAGGCGGCTGAAAAAGGCGTGTACATTGTATATCGGATAATGGATAAAGCAAGCATAATTTAGGTTACAAAATTGAGATTTGAAATTCTTAACTTTTGGAAAATCAAGATGTCAACATTGGGAAAAATCGACATCGTTTTTAGGATCCAGCCATTTAGGAGTAGGTTTAGTCATGTAGAATATCCTTTTATCTGGCTTCCAGTCATACTGTCCTGCAGTGCGTCAGTAGACTGACAGTGAAGTGGTGGGACATCCGTGTCCTTTGGATACATTTCTAGTTCATCTTGTCTTCCATGAAATATGGCTTTACTTCTTAGACTTGACAACCATATTATTAACATGTACATCTTCCGTTATAAGAATAATTTATAATGATTGTTCGTGCGCAAAATATAACAGTTTTTAAAGTAAATACAATGTGTATTACTTTCTTTTACACCTTCTTAAGACCCTCATTCCATAACAGTAAGACTTAAATTGACTGCCTGTCTATTATGTGTATTGACTGAGGAGACCACACAGGAACAAAAATGTTGTTTACAAGTTTTCTTAGTATTTCATATGGTTGTTATAATGTTTTTCGGTACATAATGTCTCTTGATGTGTTTCTTAAACTTCAGATGAAAGCACTACTTTAACAAAAAAAATTAAAAGAAAGACAGAATTAAGCCCAAGGATTTCTTGTATCTATGATGGACGACCAATCATTCTTGAAGATGATGATAGAAAAAGATTAGATGAAAACTGTATTTTTTTCAAGAAGGGTGGATTTGGAGAAATTTTTGAAGTGAAAGGTATATATTCTTTCTACAATTATTAAAAACGCTGTTCTTTTTTCCCTTGTATTTTTAATATAAAAATCAAGAATATTGGAAGACTGTTTCAGTCTTTCATTTTAGTTCCTGACACTTTCATTTCAATTCATGTTTTACTTTTTATATTTTCTTCATATTGTGATTAAACCATACACCCTCATTTGTTGATTGTAAGTAAGGTAGCGGGGAAAAAACATAAAAGTGAATCAACGGTGTCAACAAATTAATGTTAAAAATAAAAAGAACATGAGAATGGCCACTTGAGCATCCATCTGGATTCAAATTAATCTTTTTTGCAAGGTAATTAGGAATATAATATTCTATTTATCTAATGTCCAAAACAACTGTGTTCATTTTAAATGGACATATTTCTTGATTTGCGTCAGATTATAAGGCTTTAACTTTATAATTGTTTATTTCGGAGGACCTTACTTCATATGGTTCACCGAAATGTGTGTCAGGTAAAAAGAAATGTTGGTTTCTGGTAAAAGTATGTTGCTTGAGATTCAATGGTAAGTTACTAGTATTATTTAATTATTTGTAAATTACAACTACATGTTTTATTTAAAACAAAATCGAAATGCTGTTCGACCTTTATGAAATTCCTTTATTATAGTTACCAATTCATGCATTGTCTTTTTAGCTCACCTGACCACGAAGTGGTCAAGGTGAGGTATAGTGATGAGGCTCTGTCCATCATCGTGCGTCGTTCGTCGTCAATAATTGGGTTGTTAACACTCTAGCAGTCACAATTTTGATTGGATCATCATCAAACTTTGTCAGAATTTTGTCTCAATGGAATATAGGTTAAGTTCGAAGATTGGTCATCTTAGGTCAAAAACTAGGTCACAGGAGTTAAACAAGAAAAAGCTTGTTAACACTCTAGTGGCTGCAGTTTTGATCAAAATATTCTTGAAATTTGTCAGGAGGGTTGCTTTTCTAGGTCAAGTTCGAAGATGGGTCATCCCCTGTTAAAAACTAGGTCACAGGAGCTAAAAATAAAAAAATCTTGTTAAGACTCTACTGGCTGCAGTTTTCATCCAAATAATCTGAAAATTTATCAGGAAGGTTGTTTTGATGATTTCTAGGTCAAGTTTGAAAATGGGTCATGTCCGGTCAAAAACTAGGTCACAGGAGCTAAAAAATAAAAATGTTTTTAACACTCTAGTGGCTGAGTTTTTATCCCAATATAATCTGAAAACTTGGGAAAGGGTTGTTTTGATGATTTCTAGGTCAAGCTGGAAGATGGGTTATCTCGGCCAAAATCTAGGTCACAGGAGCTAGAAATAGAAAAAAGCTTTTAACACTCTAGTGGCTTGCATTTTGATAAAATAGTCTGGAAAACTTGGCAGGTAGGATGATTTCTAGGTCAAGTTCGAAATGGGTCATCTCTAGTCCCCCAAAAAAAACTAGGGTCAAAGGAGCTTTAAAATAGAAAAATCTTGTAAAAACTCTAATGGCTGCAGTTTTGATCAAAATATTCTGGAAAATTAGTTAGAAAGGTTGTAGTTTGATTCTAGTAAAATTGAAGAAGGGTATCTTGGTCAAAACAATTACAGGGGCTAAAATAGAAAAAACTTGTTTAAACTTTGGGCGTGTTTTTATTCAAATATTTGGAAAAAAGGGGCAAAGGTTTTTTTGATGATTTTTAGGGGAAATTTAAGATAGGAAAACTCTTTTCCAAAAACTAGGTCACAGGATCTAAAAATAGAAAAATCTTGTTAACACTCTAGTGGCTGCTGTTTTGATCCAAATATTCTGGAAATTTGTCAGAAAGGGTTTTTTTGATGATTTTTAGGTCAAGTTCGAAGTTGGGTCATCCCCGAGCGAAAACAAGGTCCAATGGCTAAAAATAGTAAAAGCTTGTTTACACTCTAGTGGCTGCAGTTTTGATCCAAATATTCTGGAAATTTGTCAGAAAGGTTGTTTTGGTGATTTCTAGGTCAAGTTCGAAGATGGGTCATCTCTGCTCAAAAACTAGCCCACAGGATATAAAAATAGAAAAATCTTGTTATCACTCAAGTGGCTGCAGTTTTGGTCCAAACATTCTGGAACTTTATTAGGAATGTTGTTTTGATGATTTCTAGGTCAAGTTCGAAGATGGGTTATCTCCGGTCTGAAACTAGGTCGCAGGCGCTAAAAATAGAAAAAGCTTGTTAACACACTAGTTGCTGCGGTTTTATCCAAATATTATAGAAATTTTTCAAGAAGGTTGTTTTGATGATTTCTATGTCAAGTTTGAAGATGGGTCATCTCCGGTCAAAAATTAGGTCGCAGGCACTAAACAGAGAAAAAGCTTGTAAACACTCTTGTTGTTGCAGTTTTGATTCAAATATTCTGGAAATTTGTCAAGAAGGTTGTTTTGATGATTTCTAGGTCAAGTTCGAAAATGAGTTATCTCCGCTCAAAAACTAGGTCTCAGGAGCTTAAAATAGAAAAATCTGGTTAAAACTCTAGTGGCTGCAGTTTTGATCCAAATATTCTGGACATTTGTCAGGAAGTTTGTTTTGATCATATATAGGTCAAGATTGAAGATGGGTCATCTCTGCTTAAAAACTAGGTCACAGGAGCTATAAATATAAAAATATTGTTAACACTCTAGTGGCTGCAGTTTTAATCCAAATATTTTGGAAATTTGTCAAGAAGGTTGTTTTGATGATTTCTAGGTCAAGTTCGAATATATGTCGTTTCTGTTCAAAAACTAGGTCACAGGGGCTAAAAATCTAAAGTCTTGATAACACTCAAGTGGTTGCAGGTTTGATCCAAATATCAGGATGGTCGTTTTGATGATTTCTAGGTCAAGTTTTTGTTATGGATCACCTGGCGTCAAAAACAAGGTCACACTGCCCAAATATGGAAAATTCTTGTAAACAGTCTAATGGTAACATTTTGACTCAATTCTCATCAAACTTGGTATGGCTGCTTGTCTAGTTAATTGCTTGGAGGAGTTTGAATATGGGTTTCTCTGGTGAAAAACTAGGTCACAAGAGCTTAAAATAGAAAATCTTGTGAACTCTCTTGTGGCTACTGTTGTTATCCAAATATCCTGAAAATTGGTCTGCAAGTTTCGTTTGATGAATTCTAGGTCATGTTTCATTGGTCACCTGGGGTCAATTGCTAGGTCACACTGCCAAAATATGGGAAAACCTTTTTAACACACTAGAGGTCACATTCTTTACTCAAAATTGCTTGGATGTGGTTTATAGGTCAGGGGAGCGATCTAGGGCCATCATGATCCTCTTGTTTTGAGAATTGTTTGTTGTTGAGGGTTTAGGTGCGTCAAACATTCAACGTGGGGATAAAGAAAATCCCTTAAGAAACAGGCTAAAACACTTTACATCAAACAGTCTTCATCTGTGATGATGAAAACACAAACCCTTGTTCGATCAATTATATGAATCAACAAATGAAGGGAATGATGGTGATGGTACATATTCTAATACATATGTGGATACATACGTTTTCCTTTCTGTTCATTTCTTTTAATGCTTGTTAGCTACAAATGCATTATGGATTTAGTGAAGAAGAGATTCACAGTATTTAAGCATATTTTATATTTAGATACAGAACACATACTCAAATATGGATCACAATGTGAATAATGGCCATTTTTATTTTCATTTGTTGAAATCCAAAGAATCGACAAGGACTGCCTGTATGTTTTACATCATCACGGGTGAACATTGTGTGGTTATATAATCCTAGGAGCCTATTTTCAGATATTTTTATCGAAATGTCAGTTGTTTGACACACCTGAACAAACGACAACCGAAAATTCTCAAAAAGACTGCATCAAATGACAACAAATAAAATGGTTATTATCGAGAAATATATAAGGGTTGAATAGGTTTCTAATTTTTGTCCAATTATACTTCATATTTACGAAAATCAATCAAATTTGTAAAACTTTGATTTCCTGAAAAAGGCTGTCTTTAATGTGAGTTTAACAATCATATTTTTTACCTGGACCAACATATCTTTCTAACTGGTGAACATATCAATGAACATATGAAGTTGGTCCCATGTATATATAACTCAAAATATGTCAAGAAAATTTATTTTTACACTAGTGTACTTTCATACATCGTAGAATAGAATAGCTATTTTCTCATCCTGGAATTGACTTTGGCGTCTTTGTAAAACTTGGTTAAAGTTTTGCTTGCAACATCATATCTCATCAGCCACTCATGATATTTGCTTGTAACTTCATAAACTTATTTGACAGCATAAAATTATGGCCCTTTTTAGTCCCCTACCGGTTTAACCGGAGGGAAATTTAGGTTTTTCCTCCGTCCGTCTGTCTGTCTATCAGTCCGTCAGTCCGTCCGTCCACAAAACTGGATCCCGCGATAACGCAAAAAGTACTGAAAATATTTTTTTGAAACTTGATATATGGATAGATGGCAGTATGGAGATTATGCACGTTTTTTCTTCTTCCTATGTTGAAAATTCTGATTGCTATGGCAACAAATAGTCTGAAAATATGGCAAATTTAACACATAAACTGGATCCACTCATAACTCAAAAAGTACTGAAAATATTTTAATGAAACTTGAAATATGGGTAGATGGCAGTCTGGAGATTATGCACATCTTTTTCTTTTCTTCCTATGTTGAAAATTCTGGTTGCTATGGCAACAAATAGCCTGAATTTTAAGATTTCTGATTTACATTTTTCAGCTTTTTCACTATAAGTCTTTTATTATACCCCCACCACAAAATGTGGGGGGGGGGGGGGGGGGGCTATAATGGATTCGCTTTGTCGCGTCGGTCGGTCCGTCGGTCCGTCTCCATTTTCGTGTCCGCTCTATAACTCTATACCAATTGAAGGATTTTCTTCAAACTTTGCTCAAATGTTCACCTCAACAAGGGGATGTGCAGAACCCATGTTGCCCATGTGTCAGCTCAAGGTCAAGGTCACAATTGAAGGTCAAATATCAAACACAATCAAATATTAGACAGTATGTTGTGTCTGCTCTG